TTCGATCAAAGTAGGCTATTTTCAAAAAAATATTGATTTTATGTCTATATTAGCATTCTTTATCATTAATAATACCAAGATATGTTTTAAAATGCAATTTAAAGCATTTTTGGTTTCGATCATAGTAGGCTATTTTCAAAAAAATATTGATTTTATGTCTATATTAGCATTCTTTATCATTTATAATACCTAGATATGTTTTAAAATGCAATTTAAAGCATTTTTGGTTTTCGATCATAGCAGGCTATTTTCAAAAAAATATCGATTTTATACCTATATAAACATTCTTAATCATTTATAATACCTAGATATGTTTTAAAATGCAATTTAAAGCATTTTTGGTTTCGATCATAGTAGGCTATTTTCAAAAAATATCGATTTTATATCTATATTAGCATTCTTTATCATTTATAAGACCTAGATATGTTTTAAAACGCAATTTAAAGCATTTTTGGTTTCGATCATAGTAGGCTATTTTCAAAAAATATCGATTTTATATCTATATTAGCATTCTTTATCATTTATAAGACCTAGATATGTTTTAAAACGCAATTTAAAGCATTTTTGATTTCGATCATAGTAGGCTATTTTCAAAAAATATCGATTTGATATCTATGTTAGCACTCTTTATCATTTATAAGACCTAGATATGTTTTAAAACGCAATATAAAGCATTTTTGATTTCGATCATAGTAGGCTATTTTCAAAAAATATCGATTTTATATCTATATTAGCATTCTTTATCATTTATAAGACCTAGATATGTTTTAAAACGCAATTTAAAGCATTTTTGGTTTCGATCATAGTAGGCTATTTTCAAAAAATATCGATTTCATATCTATATTAGCATTCTTTATCATTTATAAGACCTAGATATGTTTTAAAACGCAATTTAAAGCATTTTTGATTTCGATCATAGTAGGCTATTTTCAAAAAATATCGATTTTATATCTATATTAGCATTCTTTATCATTTATAAGACCTAGATATGTTTTAAAACGCAATTTAAAGCATTTTTGGTTTCGATCATAGTAGGCTATTTTCAAAAAATATCGATTTTATATCTATATTAGCATTCTTTATCATTTATAATACCTAGATATGTTTTAAAACGCAATTTAAAGCATTTTTGGTTTCGATCATAGTAGGCTATTTTTAAAAAAATATCGATTTTATATCTATGTTAGCACTCTTTATCATTTATAAGACCTAGATATGTTTTAAAACGCAATTTAAAGCATTTTTGATTTCGATCATAGTAGGCTATTTTCAAAAAATATCGATTTTATATCTATATTAGCATTCTTTATCATTTATAAGACCTAGATATGTTTTAAAACGCAATTTAAAGCATTTTTGATTTCGATCATAGTAGGCTATTTTCAAAAAATATCGATTTTATATCTATATTAGCATTCTTTATCATTTATAAGACCTAGATATGTTTTAAAACGCAATTTAAAGCATTTTTGATTTCGATCATAGTAGGCTATTTTCAAAAAATATCGATTTTATATCTATATTAGCATTCTTTATCATTTATAAGACCTAGATATGTTTTAAAACGCAATTTAAAGCATTTTTGGTTTCGATCATAGTAGGCTATTTTCAAAAAATATCGATTTTATATCTATATTAGCATTCTTTATCATTTATAATACCTAGATATGTTTTAAAATGCAATTTAAAGCATTTTTGATTTCGATCATAGTAGGCTATTTTCAAAAAATATCGATTTTATATCTATATTAGCATTCTTTATCATTTATTAGACCTAGATATGTTTTTAAACGCAATTTAAAGCATTTTTGGTTTCGATCATAGTAGGCTATTTTCAAAAAATATCGATTTTATATCTATATTAGCATTCTTTATCATTTATAAGACCTAGATATGTTTTAAAACGCAATTTAAAGCATTTTTGGTTTCGATCATAGTAGGCTATTTTCAAAAAATATCGATTTTATATCTATATTAGCATTCTTTATCATTTATAAGACCTAGATATGTTTTAAAACGCAATTTAAAGCATTTTTGGTTTCGATCATAGTAGGCTATTTTCAAAAAAATATCGATTTTATATCTATATTAGCACTCTTTATCATTTATAAGACCTAGATATGTTTTAAAACGCAATTTAAAGCATTTTTGACTTCGATCATAGTAGGCTATTTTCAAAAAATATCGATTTTATATCTATATTAGCATTCTTTATCATTTATAAGACCTAGATATGTTTTAAAACGCAATTTAAAGCATTTTTGGTTTCGATCATAGTAGGCTATTTTCAAAAAAATATCGATTTTATATCTATATTAGCATTCTTTATCATTTATAAGACCTAGATATGTTTTAAAACGCAATTTAAAGCATTTTTGGTTTCGATCATAGTAGGCTATTTTCAAAAAAATATCGATTTTATATCTATATTAGCACTCTTTATCATTTATAAGACCTAGATATGTTTTAAAATGCAATTTAAATTAATTTTGGTTTTGATCATAGTAGGCTTTTTTTAAGAAAAATATCGATTTTATATATATTAGCTTCCGCGTGGAACACGGAAAGTGTTTCTTTATGTCGTTCAAATTTTGTCACCCAACCACCGTATTATCCAAAAGTAATCATTTATATGTCAAAATTAAAATTGTTCTGGTGCACTTGTTTTAGAGAACTATTAGATGAAACATTTTTTGTAATGTAGGGCCTTAAAGACCTATCCAATGATACTAAACATGCCCCACTTTAACAACACCTTCGTAAATATAACGATTTCAAATTTTAATCCGATGGATTTAGTTTAATCCTCCCTATATTCATTACGAAATCAAAAAAGGTTTAAAATTTGTCACCCAACCTACAGCTCGCAACCCAAAATCAATCATATTGATATGTATATAAATAGAAAGCTACAAAGGTCTGGTAGGGCGAAAATTTAGGCGCTTTTCGTGAATCGTCTTAGTTCTCGAGATATAGTGAAAATGGTGTTTAATCTGGTGGATTATAAATAAATCCAATGGATTAAAAATAAATCAGTAATATCTTTTAATTTTCAAATCTATTTTTTCCGTGTGATATCTTAAATTAAAGGTAATTAAAATGAGAATAATCGACAATTAAGAGAATTTCATTTTATTTGGTTTTGAGGAGTGCCTATTAAAATAACGAATTTTAAAATTTCGAAACTTCATTTTTACGAACACTTCATTTTTACGACCATATCATTTTTACGAAAAATTATTTTTTCGACTTTTTTTTATAAAATTCAAATTCTGAAATGTCGTTAATTTCATCACGTGTTCTCTTCAATAATAAATCTGCAAAAATAAGATTAATAGAACAAATGTTTTTAAATGTATGGAATTAAAACGTATTTTTTTTTCAATATCACATTTGTTGTTTTCCATGTGTATGTTTAAAGGAAAGAATTTGTGTCTATCGAAATGGATATTGACAAATGTTTGGCTGGAAAGCAACAAAAGCATAGAATGCCAGGTTTTGAAAAGACAGAGCATTCCATTAAATCAATCCTGAACCGTCGAAAATCCGTGCCACGAGTTGAAACATTAAAGGCTATTGCAGAAGTCAAAAATGATTTAAGAGCTTAATTGTGTTTGTTGCTCCTTTAAAATGTGATATTGAATAAAAAATACGTTTTAATTCTATACATTTAAAAAAATTTGTTCTATTAATCTTATTTTTGCAGATTTATTATTGAAGAGAACACGTGATGAAATTAACGATATTTTAGAATTTAAAATTTATAAAAAAGTCGAAAAAATAATTTTTCGTAAAAATGATATGGTCGTAAAAATGAAGTGTTCGTAAAAATGAAGTTTCGAAATTTTAAAATTCGTTATTTTAATAGGCACTCGGTTTTGAGTGGGTTTAAGAAATATTTATGTAAATCTTGATTAATTTTAAACTTGATTTGAGGGTTTAATTTTATTTATTTTGCTTTATTGGCACATAATGTTCCTAAAATGTCAAAAATGCATTCAAATAGCTAAAACCACTTATGATTGATAGAAAAAAAATGATATAAATTTTTTGTTGATAGTAGCTGGTCTTAATCCAGTAACACGGATTAACTAGTGCTTGATCTCCATCATTAATCATGACTTATTTATTGTATTGAAATTATTTGGAATATTTACACCGTATTTACGTTGTTTCACGTTCTTTTGCAATTCTATTGGTTTTGTTCAGATTGAAAAATCAGTTTTCGCATTTTTGAGAAAACGAAGCAAAATTGTTTATAAAAGGTTCCAGAAGAATAGTTTGTGTTTAAAAATTCACATTTTCTCCAAAAAATAAGATTTTAATTTGGCATTGCTTAGAAAATCACAAAATACGCTTTCTGTAGGCAAGCAAATAAGCATGCAAGTTAATCAGCAAGAAATCTCAATAACGAGACATTGTAAAGACTTCTGGTTTTCTATATTTGATCCATGCTGCTCTATAGAAGAGCTGTATTGTTTTTGGGCAAGGTAGGAATAGCCGTTGCTTCAGAAAAAGCAAAAAACTTTCCTTTCTTACGAATTATTCAAAACAAAAGTTCTCTGTGATTTTTTATAAAATTCAACTTTGGATGAAAATTTTTTTTAAAAAACTTTTAAAGAATGTTCGTTAAGCTTTAAACCTTCAAACATATGCTCAGCGAAGCTCAGCTGACTCGCTAGCTTTATATCTTCAAACATATGCTGAGCGAAGCTGGTTTTATACTTTCAGACTTACCAAGCTTTATACCTTCAAACTTATGCTAAGCAAATCTTGGTCTATCCATAAGACTTTTGATGGAGCGGTGTGAATATATCCACTAATTTGCGTTTTGTGATATATATAAAAGAACTGTAATCTAACATAAGTCAAATGCGGAAGCTAGTGACTTTCTAAGTAAGTCGTGTTTTTTCCATTCGTTTTGGTCTTTGCTTAAAATAATCTCAAGGTAAGTCTCAAGATTAAAATAAATCACAGGATTTAAATATGATAAATTTTTATTAGGGTCTAGCAAAAGGCTTTAAAATTGGTATTTTAATCCAGTTACATGACATATTCTTTTCCTTAACGTTGTCAATACAACTATCTCCTAATGGACTTTTTGCATAGAAATCTAAATCATCTATTTTACTTGGTGGATAAATATCTAAGTTCCTTTTAAATTTTTCAACGGCATTCCATCCAATCATAATTCCATTGTCCATACATAGCTTCTTTGATGGTCTAATGGCTTTAAAATTTAAATTCTCGCACATTTGACTTAGTGCTGTGTATATAAAGTCATTACATGCTACACCGCCAGATATTATTAAACGCCTTTCTTCGACATTATCGAACCAATGCTGTCCTTCACAAAATTCTATAGCTCTTTGTGTTCTGTGACATAAATGACGTGTTAATGCTCCTAACACATTTGCACAGAAATCTAGATAATCAGGTAGTACTGCATCAACATCTAAATTTAATTTCCTCTCTTCATTCTTGATAGACCTTAATGCTGTATTTTTTAAGCCAGCAAAGCTAAATTGACAGTCTCGATAGTATTTTAGCATTAATGGAAAATGATATTTATCTGTGGGTTCTGTACACATCCTTGCTGCTTCTTCTATCGATTGTCCTCCATTCTTGTTACTGAATTGCCTCAAATTTGTTAGTTTAAGTCGTCTAGCAATTTTATCAAGACACTCACCAGGTGCATCATCAATACTTTCGCCTAATAACAAGAAACTATCGATATCTTTAACATAAGACAGTAAGCAATGTCCACCAGAAATAAGTAGGCACATAAATGGGAACTTTATATCCTCATTTTCCATTCTTGGTGTCAACGAATGAGCATGCATGTGATGTATTGGAATTAACGGCTTATTATACTTTCTCGACATATGTCTAGCATATCTAATGCCAACTAGCAGACTTAAAGCTAATCCTGGTCTGTTTGTGAATCCAATTCCATCTAGTTCCGTTGGTTCTATTTTGGCATTTTCGAGACATTTTGTCACAACATAATCGATGTTACTTCTATGGAAGTCTTGTGCTACAGTAGGAATTATCCCTCCAAAACTAAGGTGGCTCTTCATTTGTGATGCTAGGCATTCTGAAATTAATGTTCTGCCTTTTAAAACTGCTGCACCTGTATCATCACAAGAAGATTCTATGCCTAAAACTTGTTCGAATTTCATTAGCTATTATTCTTGTTAATTTATATACTTTAACTTACTTAATGGACTCCTGGATGAGAAATTCCTCTTTAATGTTCTTACCAGCATAGTTTAGACAGCCTGTTATACTCTAATTAAGCCAGATTCTCAGTAAAATATATGAGCATGTAGCTTGCTTGGTGATCAAAACAAATAACAATCAGTAGGATAGAGAACTTGTTGGATACAGTTTTTAATTATTGTCCACTATAGCTGTATAAATTTTAACTAGCCAGTTTTATGTTAGATGCTATATAGGTAGTACAATTTTAATCTGAATCGCCTTAGATAATTTCAGAATATTAACGATCCAAAAAAATTCAAACATAGTAAATCGGGTAATCCAATCACAAAACAGAGTGAGAGTATTCAAAAATTATCAAAAATCAGCTGTAAGTATAGAACTAAGCATTAAAAAATCATTAATTAAACATAAATAACGAGACAATGGTTAAATGAATAAGTTAAGATATAAAACTTAATCATTACAGCTCTATAAAACCATTAAATTTGTAAAAAAATAATAGAAAATTTCGCCGAATATATTTTTACCAATTTTCTTTAGGTTTCAGAGAGAGTTGATAGCATTAAATGATATGATGACACAGTTTGTAGACCTACCACCAGAAATACTTGAATTATTGTTTGATTACTTGACTGATCCGAAGGATATTTGTAATATCTCTGAAGCATGCAAAAGATTTAAGGAAGTAATTGATACGAGCGATAAATTGACTAAAAAGCTAACATTATACGTAAACTATCCATCATTTCTGCATAATTTCAAGGCTGTACTTAAAAAATCAAATCGTCGATATAAAAACTTGAGTGTCACACGAAGTCGTCTTACTGGATCTGAAAACCAATTCACAAGTTTAATAAATGCATTTGAATTAATTGGACCAAAGATTAGGAACCTCACAATAAATTGGTGTCAGTTGAGGAACTTGGACATTAGTACAGCGAATTTAGTAGATATTGCTGCACGTCGAAGACTACGTGCTGAATTGCTATTTGCTCAGAACGTATCAGTCGGTCGTCATCAAGGAGCTCAAGGAGTGATTCGTGAAGATATCCGAGATGAATTACATAAGGAATTTATAGCTATAATTAAATATTTTAACTGTCTCGAAACGACTATTTGGAATAATGTTAATATTGAAAAAAGAACTAATCCAATTGATCTCGCATCATTTGACTTTACATCACTAAAACAATTAAAAATGCGACATTGTGATGCTTACTGTTTTGATATTTTATCATCAGCAAAACAGTTGAATAGCTTAAAAATCTCAGAGCCATTTTGGAGCACTAATCGTAGCCCAGGCATTGATAATTTTGAAACATATCTCATCTCACAAGAAGTTTTAAAGACACTATCGATCAAATCAATCCATTACCCACGTTTATTTCATTCTGACCGGAGTGAGCGCATTCAATTTAAATTAAATTATCTGGTCCTGAAGAATGTCTTTTTCAAGGAAAAACTTCATGCTGAAAACTTCTTCAAGACACAAAAGGAACTGAAATTTATCGATATTCAGATACAAAATGAAAAGTCACGAAACCTCGAAGAACTGCATTGGTACAATGATATATTAAAGACAGGTAAGACAAAGGCTTACTTAATTTTTGATTTAATTCATTTATATTAATCATGTTGATTGTCTATTTGCAGTATTAAAAGAGAACCCCATGCTGAGGACTTTGAATTTAGATAAGTTTAAGTATAAAATTCCGAATTGTGATTTCCTTAGAAATATTACAAACGCAAATGTTCAAACGCTGAATTTCAACGTTACAAATGAGGAAAAAGATGCGGAACTGTTTAAAGTTTTAGTGCGATCGTTGCCAAATTTAAAGAATATAACTTACAAATCGGAAGATAGCGAAGATAATGATGGAGATGTGTGCTTTGATAAAGGAACAATATTGGATAAAGTTAAGGCATTAATTATCATTAATGCATCAGTTAAGTCACTAATTAATGTACATGCTGAAAACCTTCATACATTCGAATATTCACCAAAACTTAATGGATCTTTTATCGATGACTATATTGGAGGGTTTTTACATAGGCATCGTACCATAAAAGAACTAAAAATTGGAAATAGTACAGGACGTTCATATTTTTTTGTCTCCTACAACCTATGCCAACTTATTGTTAATTTCCTCAATCAGCTAGAATCAATTACCATTTATAATTTCGCGGAAGTAAATAAGAGCGTAAAGCTTTTGTGTAATTTGCGTAATTTAAATACATTGACCCTCTCATCCTTGCAATATCAACAGTTTACGGCTAAAACTAAAGTTGAATGTGAACGAATGAAGTTGAGGTTGATTCCAATTGAAATGAATCAGCCACAAGATTTTCACGAATACTCGGATTGTTAAATAATTTTCAGTCATATTCACACAAATTTTCAATTTTTGTGAATATATTTCATTTTCTTTTTTCTCAACCAATTTCAAATCATTAATCTGTTGCAATATCATCATAGTCGAATCATTTTGGAAATTTGTATACTTAATTACTTCTTTTTTTTTCTTCTTTAATAATTAAATTTTTTTTCATTGCAACGTGCATCATGTTGCATCCTATTTGGAATAATAGTAATAAATCCTTTATATATTGAAAGTTGCACTGATTTTATTTCATTCTCAATAATCTCTATAAATTCTTCTATAGTTAATTACATTTAAAACTTTATTCATTAAAATTGTTCATTACATTTTGCAGTTCATGTCAATTTAGTGAGTTTTGTATTTTCCCGAAGAGCAAAATAACGAAAACCCATTTTTACGAATGTACCCTGTTTTTTTGTTATAAGCTGCTACTCGTTACTAAGCTACTAGCTTAGTAAAGTTTTTTTGAACTTGAAAATTTTTTGTAATCTTTACTAAGCTACTACCAAAAATAAAGTTTAATTAATCTTTTTCAACTTTCTAAGTATCAGTTTAAATGCCTTATGACATTGTCAATGAAATAAAATCGGGAAGATAGCAAAATTTCTTTAATTAAGTCAAAAAATTCAAAATTTTCATTGAAGTTCAATTTCTTTACTAGGCTACTACTCGTTACTAAGCTACTAGTGAGCCAAAAAAAATCACTTTTTTATTCTTTTAAGCTACTAGCTTATAACGAAAAAACAGGGTACATTTTTACAAAAACTTTTATAGTAACAACTTATAGGATAAAATTTGAATCTCAAAGAACCGGTGGATAAAATCAAATATTAAGACAATCAAAACTAATTTCATCATTTAAATGCGAATAGACATGATTTAATAATTAATAAAATATAAAGGATTAATAGAACTGCAAAAAAGATTTGAATTTATTTGAATGTGAAATATTTTTTCTATAAAATTTTATTTTGCTATAATTTTTTTCATGGAATCACCATGATCTATTAATCCTTCATTTTATAATAATTATTATATCATTTCTAATCGCATTTAAATGATGAAATTAATGTTAATTGTCTTTTAATGTTTGATTTAATTAACGGTTTTTTGAGATTCAAATTATATCCTATAAGTTTTTACCATAAAAATTTTCCTAAAAATGTACATTCGTAATAACGGTTATTCGTTATTTTGCTTTTCGGGAAAATACAGAACACTCCAATTTTAATTTTTTAATTCTGAAAATCCGTTACATTTTGAATTTCAATAATCCGTTAAAACTACAACTAAATGCAGGAAAACCTCTTGTCAATAGTTCATTAAAATTACTAAGCGCTAGATTCTTTATCGTCTATGATTTTTATGTGATACATTTTCTTCTCTTCCTCTGAAATTTCACAAGGAGCTTTCGATAATGGATCTCTACCCTCAGAACTTTTTGGGAAAGCAATAACATCCCTGATTGAATTTGTATTACAAATAATGGATATTAAGCGATCGATTCCTAATGCTATACCTGCATGTGGAGGTGCTCCACTTTGAAGTGCTTCAAGCATGTGATTTAGATGATTTCTGTCTAATTTTAAGATCTCATCGAAGACATATTTCTGCAATTTTGGTTCATGAATACGAACAGAACCACCACCAACTTCTTGTCCATTTAGAACTAAATCATATGCCAATGAACGTGCTAATAATCTCGATTCTGGATTTCCAAGTAGATTTCTATCATCTGGATGTGGTGCTGTAAATGGATGATGAACACTTTCAATCTCATTCGTTTCCTCATTTTTTGCAAAAAGTGGAAAATCAACAACCCATAAAAATTTATTTTCTTCCTTTGCTCTCTCAGCGACTAATCCTCGTTGCTCTAAATCATCATACAAACTTATTCTGACTCTTCCCATTAATGTCTGACAATCTGCCTTCTTTCCATATCCAATGACTAGTAAATCGTTTGGTTCCAAATGCAAGTTTGCAGCGAGAGCTTTAAGCACGACAGTTGAAAAAACATTCTTTAGTGGACCATCAATCCATTCATTTATATCATTTGCAGCTATTTTGCTGACAACTAAATGTGAATTTGTTTCCTTTTCTATGTCCTTTAATTCTTTCTTTAAGCTGTTTTTAATATTTGATTGTGGATGTTTTAGGACAATAGCATAAGATCCCATATTAGGTGTTGACTGTGTAATGTCCTCATTTAATGACACAAGATTTGTAACATTCTGTAGCTGCATATCAAACCTGAGATCGGGTTTATCAGTTCCGTATCTTTCCATAGCCTCATCATAAGACATTTTTTGGAAAGGAACTGACAATGTTCCATTACTTTCTGGCCAACAATTCACTAAAACTGCTTCAATCATTGACATGATATGACTTTGATCTGTAAATGATAATTCAATATCCAATTGTGTGAATTCAGGTTGTCGATCAGGTCTTGTTGATTCGTCGCGATAACAACGTGCAATTTGGAAATATCTGTCAATGGAACCGACCATAAGAAGCTGTTTAAACTGTTGTGGACTTTGAACGAGTGAATAAAACTTTCCAGCCTTTCTGGTTGGAACTACAAATTCTTGGGCACCGGCGGGAGTTCTTCTAAAGAGTGTAGGAGTTTCAACTTCAACAAATCCACAATGATTTATAAGGTATTCACGCATTTTCATAAGAACTTTAGATCTCGTACGTAAATTCTTTTGCATGTCAGGAAATCGCAAGTCAAGATATCGATATTCCATTCTTAAATTTTCTTTTGCACGATTAAAATTCCTGATTTCAAGTGGAAGATTTTTCTTAGCTTCATTAAGTACGGTTAGTGATTTCATTGTAACTTCAATATTTCCAGTCATCATTGATTCATTTCTCATTCCAAAAGGTCGTGCAAGCACCAAACCAGTAACTTTTAAGACGCTTTCATATGGAATTTCCTCAATATTATAATTAGTACATAATTCATCAGGAATAATGACTTGAGTGCATCCATAGCCATCACGTAGTGTAAAGAATTTTTTCATTCTATGGAATTCAAGCCATCCAGTTAATGTCACTTCCTGTCCAATATTCGATTCATTTAATTCTCCACAATTGTGAGTTCTGTATGTATATAAATTTATTTTTGGCTTTTCAACTGGTCGTGGCGAGACTGGCTGAGTTGATTGATTTTGAGCATTTGTCTCATTCACTTCTACTTCCATTTCTTTTGGTTCCTCTACGCCATTAGGATTTTTATATGGTTCATTTGGATCAAGAATTTTAAAATCAGTTACTAATATCTCTATTTCTCCTGTATCTGTATTATGACGAACCATTGCAGGTGGTCTAGCGATGACTCTTCCTTGCACTAATATAATATTGTCATCCTTTACATTTGCCACTTGTTGCTTCATCTCTAAATCATCGGAATCAACAATTACTTGAATTATTCCATACCCATCTTTTAGTTGTAAAAACTTTCCATGCTTCTTTGAATCCAACCATCCAACTAAGGTCACAAAAGTTCCAATATCATCTCTATTTAGTCCACCGCAAGTGAATTTTCGATTAACAAAATATTGAACGATATTTTCTGATGTCGATCTTTTGTACTCGATGCTTGTGATTCCTTTTGATTTCGTTGTACTACTCGTTGAATATGATCTAGTCTGTTGATCAAAAGAACTTCCTGACATGTCACTTAAAATTGGCATGATAATTTTATCGAATTCCTCCACGGCTATCTCAACTGCTCCCGTTCCAATTGACTAAAATTCATCACAATTATTATTTAATGATTAGCTTAATTAAGACGTTTTTAACTTACTTTATTAATGAATCGTGCAGGTCGTGTCTGTACTGTTCCAATAACTGAAATGTAGGCGTCATTTGGTATGGACTGGAACTTTTGTTGAACTTCTGGTTTGTCGTCCATAGCAACGAGTTGTGTACATCCTGTTAAATCCTTAACTTCTAAGAATCGACCACTTCTAGGTCTTTTTACAACCTTTCCTGATATTTTTACTCTGATTCCGTCATCCTTCTCTCGAATTTCACCACAATGGACTGTAAAAACTGTAGCTGCAACTTGCTGACAAGCATTCATATTGAAATTTCTCATTTGACTTAAACTCTCATTAATCATTGAGAACGGATCATTCCAGGAATCATTATAATTATTACTTCTTGGTCGTTGAGGCGATGGACCATAGCTTTGATGATTAAATTCATCTCTCGGTCGCTGATTTCTACGAACTAAGAAAATTTCGTAATCATTATGAAATAAGTTAAATAATAATTTTACTCACATGACATTCCTGTTGTTCTAATATATCTAGTCGATAATTCGGTTCCTATTCGCGATAAAACCTATAATTAAGGAGGAAAAAAGTTAAACTATTTTCATGCACTTTAAAAATCATCAATTGTGAAAATTACAAAAATTTTACGGAAACCTAATATTGCCGACTTTGCATTGATACTTATTGAACTTAAAATCATATTATTAATTAACTGGAACACGGGAAATGTTCAAAATACCTTTTATTAATGGTTAAAAGTACTTTTTCAAAACACCGATTTATTTTTCTTCTTACCAAGAAAACAACTGTCACTGAACAAACTCGATAGCTAACACTAATTTAAGCACTGGATGGGAATGCATTGACGTTTTGTCTGGCAGTCATTACAAGCTGCTACTTAATGTCTGAAACAGTTGAGTTTAAATTGGATTAAAATTAATCGTAAGATTAAAATTAATTTCATCGGATTTAATTTAATAGATCGATTTATCAGGCAATTTATTAACCAGTTTCAAGGATGGCTAAAGACTTATTAATATGCTCTGTATTTACTTGATTAAAGAGTTTCTTACCTTGCTATTTTACTGAACGCATTCACTATATTAAATAAACATTTACCATTATTATGGTATATCCACTAATTCCTGTTTATTGTCCATTTGATAGCTCACTTAATTAGCTGTTTAACTTTTAAGCTTTGAATTAAAAATTAACATAAAGGATTAGCACGTTTCTGAATTCAAATTCCAAGAATTCGTTGTTCAAAACCGGTGTTTTAGCGGCAAAAAAAGTATTTTTTTGTGTTTATATAAAGTTTTTAATAAATTTAAACGGAATGAGCATACTTACAATAAAATCGAGTATGGAACTTAATAGCTGGAAAGAAAAACTACATGATGTGACTGGAAAATTAGTGAATGAACCTGTTAAGGAGATTTTATCGAGTATAAAAGATTTTGATAGTTCCAGCGTAAATGAGGATGAATATTTTCGAGTTTTGGCTACTAAGATGAATGATTTATCAGGACTAAAGCTTCATTTTGATGATTTGGAAGGTAAAAAGTTAACAAAACTTTTCACATCTTTTTTTGTTAAGTTAAATTATTTTTAATCAAATTCCAGTTATTGATCTGATCACGAATGTAATGATGATATCCTCTAATAATTCCTTAACATGCATCAAGTTTGCTAAAATCAACTTCAAACTATTCTACAGCAACTCAGAACTTACAAAATCAACAGTCTTTCTTGAGAACTTTATCAAAAGTTTGTGCCTGTTAATTGTAGAATCGATAGCTAAAACTAGTCAAAATGAGTCACGGAAGTTTGCTAAAGTTCAGCTTTGCATTATAATTGAACTCCAGCATTTATTTACACCAGACGATTTTAGAGGAAATCAATACATTGAGAGATTATTTATCAAGTTAATTAATGAAGACATTTCGGAATTAGAGGAACAATTCACAACGATTTTGAGCAAGCAGCTTGAAAATTCAAAATTCTGTCAAGACATGTTTATCATTGAACAAGAAGAATCTTATAATGATTTCCTTCGATATTGTTTGCTCATTTTACAGCAAGTTGGCAGTCAAGATGTGACAGAAAAGGAAGCGAATTTTGTGTGCCTGCTTATTTCATCGCTAGCAAAGCATATAGACATACTTGATAATGATACTGAAATATTCGATTACCTTTTAATAGAATTAACAAATTTAATTGTAAAGCTGAACATAAGTAATCAGAATTTTGAGATAATAGAGTTACAGCTGATTGAAGGAATCATCGGAAATGACTACAGCCTGAGTGTAATGACTTTCTTGATAATGTGTCAATTTGTATTGAGTATTGGATCCACTGAAGCCATTAAATCATATTTTGTATTATTTCAAGACTTATTGCTGCACATGTGGAATCCAGTGCTTCAATTTTGTGAGCTACGGCAAGTTTACATTGGAGAATTGCTAAAAATAATGTACAATACCGAAAAGTCAATTGTGAAAATGCTTATTAAGCCTAGTTTAATGACTTTCTTCAATGACAGCGACGATAAAAAATCTGAAGACTTTACTTCAAGCTTCCTAAAACTCAAATTCGATCCAACGTCCAAAAACTATTATAATTTAATCAGCAGTAGTTTAATTCCAAGTGAAAAGTCATCAAAGGAACTTATATCCTTAATTCAAGTCATAGGCTCGTCAGACTGGAAAGTTTTCTCGTCACTAGTCATTAACATCATTGACTTAATCGCAACGACTAAAGATCACGAAAAAAAAATGTTGTATCTGCTCAAATTTAATCCACTTAAAGCCATGAAGAAACTTGGAAATGGTTTGCCAATACAAATAGCTCATAAACTTCTTGAAATGTGCTTAACATTTATGTCCAAAACAAATGGATGTAACGGACTAAAAAATTATATTAAAACAACATTGGATATGCTATTAGAAAGAGATGTGTCGCTGCGTAGACTGTATTTAAATTTGAGAATGAGCAAAACGGTAATGATAAAAGAAGAGGAAACGCTAATTAGTAACATAGAAGATATGCTGAAAGCTTCGAATACTGTTAGTCTGAAGCACTTGTGTAAAGAGAAAATAATTGGACATAAAGAGGAGTCATGCCACTTAGAGAATCTCGAGAAAATGCTAATCTACTCGAAATGGCTGTCGAATCAAAATAATTTAACTCCACGGGAATCTGAAATTATTGATCAAATTGTTGCCAATTTAAAGAAAGTATCTACCTAGACTTGACATTGCTGCCTTCTAAAGTTTTGTATATATTCAAAAATAAAAAGAATAAAGTTAAAAATTTTAAAATTTAACGGCTTGTAAAAATTAAAACTGTAGCGGTTTTCAAAAATTCAAAATTTTAATGGCTTGCAAAAATTTCAAATTAGTCCACGACTTTAATCTTTGAATTTATTTTTATTATTATTACCACGTTTTTCTTAGAATGCTTTCTTATCTGTTTATCTGTTTGTCGAGGTCAAATCTTGCGATCAATTTTTCGACCACATATAATGCTCCAATCGAGCTAAAATTTTGCATACACTTATCTTTCCGAAACTCAAAAATGCTTAATTATAGTATAATTAAATTAAATTTTCGGTAAGACTGTACGAGATGAGGCACCCTTTTATTTTTGATTTTAAAAGTGTTTTCTTATTGCTTTTAATGTGTACATTTATAAAAACAAAAGTTTTTCTGGCGGAAACGCATTTGGAACAAAAAATTTTCTTGCAGTTAATTTGCAGGAGGTTTGCAGTTGATCAAAAAAATTTATTTTTGCAGGTGGTTTGCAGGAGGTTTACAGTTGTTCAAAAATTTTATTTTTGCAGGTGGTTTGCAGGAGGTTTACATTTGATCAGAAAAATTTATTTTTGCAGTTGATTTGCAGTTGAGAAGTTTAATGTTAAGAAAAGATGAAACTAAAAAGCCGTTTTATCTTTTGTAAAAGGGATAATATTACAAATTAGAATTGAATTCAATCGAATAAAATAACAATTAAATAAAATCAAAGATCATCAAATAATCTTCAGAAATTTAAAAGAATAAATAAAAATTTGCAGTTGATTTGCAGATCATCAAAAACAATTTTGAGAAATTTTAAAGAATAAATGAAAATTTGCAGTTGAGAAGTTTTATTCAACTAATGTTAAGAAAAGATGAAACTAAAAAGCCGTTTTATATTTTGTAAAAGGGTTAATATTACAGGTTAGAATTGAATTCAATCGAATAAAATAACAATTAAATGAAATCAAAGATCGTCAAATAATCTTCAGAAATTTAAAAGAATAAATAAAAATTTGCAGTTGATTTGCAGATCATCAAAAACAATTTTGAGAAATTTTAAAGAATAAATGAAAATTTGCAGTTGAGAAGTTTTATTCAACTAATGTTAAGAAAAGATGAAACTAAAAAGCCGTTTTATATTTTGTAAAAGGGTTAATATTACAGATTAGAATTGAATTCAATCGAATAAAATAACAATTAAATGAAATCAAAGATCGTCAAATAATCTTCAGAAATTTAAAAGAATAAATAAAAATTTGCAGTTGATTTGCAGATCATCAAAAACAATTTTGAGAAATTTTAAAGAATAAATGAAAATTTGCAGTTGATTTGCAGTTGAGAAGTTTTATTCAACTAATGTTAAGAAAAGATGAAACTAAAAAGCCGTTTTATATTTTGTAAAAGGGTTAATATTACAGATTAAAATTGAATTCAATTGAATAAAATAACAATTAAATGAAATCAAAGATCGTCAAATAATCTTCAGAAATTTAAAAGAATAAATAAAAATTTGCAGTTGATTTGCAGATCATCAAAAACAATTTTGAGAAATTTTAAAGAATAAATGAAAATTTGCAGTTGATTTGCAGTTGAGAAGTTTTATTCAACTAATGTTAAGAAAATATGAAACTAAAAAGCCGTTTTATATTTTGTAAAAGGGTTAATATTACAAATTAGAATTGAATTCAATCGAATAAAATAACAATTAAATAAAATCAAAGATCATCAAATAATTTTCAGAAATTTAAAAGAATAAATAAAAATTATTTGCAGTTGATTTGCAGATCATCAAAAACAATTTTGAAAATTTGGAAAATTTAAAATATATTCAAACGGTCGAACTCATTAAAGCATTGTTTTTACATCACAGGCTAATGAATTACTGCGAGAAATGTTTAAAGTTGCTTTAAAAGCAGATATGATATGATTTTTATAAAATGTATTTTTTTTTAAAAAAAAAAACTTCGATTTAGAAAAGAAAATCTCAACTGCAAACCTCCTGCAAACCACCTGCAAAAATAATATATTAGATCAACTGCAAAAATAAATTTTTTGATCAACTGCAAACCTCCTGCAAATTAACTGCAAAAATAAATTTTTTGATCAACTGCAAACCTCCTGCAAACCACCTGCAAAAATAAAATTTTTTGATCAACTGCAAACCTCTTGCAAATTAACTGCAAAAAATTTTTTTGTTCCAAATGCGTTTCCGCCAGAAAAACTCTTGTTTTTATAAATGTACACATTAAAAGCAAGAAGAAAACACTTTTAAAATCAAAAATAAAAGGGTGCCCTATCTCGTAGAGTTAAGCCAAATTTTCTACTCTTTAAGGCTTAGCTCATTTTTACATAACATATAAACAACTTTCAATAATTTTAAATTTCAAAAAGATGTTTAAGTTTGAATCACAAAAAATACGTTATACGACTTTTAATGGTTCTAGTTTACAAACTTATGCTGTGCGACAGCACAGCTGATCGATGGATACTTTGAATAATTTTTCAAAACTAAAAAGTAGAAAATAAATTCTTTATAAAAAAACTTTTTAAAAAATTACGTTTTTACACGAAGAACGTGGGCGCATTTAAACGAAATTTAAGCTCTCCAAATATACAATATTAATGAATGCGCCCACGTTTTAAGATGTAGAACTATATAATATGGTCGAAGTGAACAAATTTGCAATTCTAAATGGTCATGACTTTAGTATGAAACTTTCAAATCAATCTCAAATTTTTAAACCAATATCCTTTGAACCCAATATAAAAGTTATTTTCTCCTTTTTAGTCCACGGGTAAAAACGTGGTTTTTTAAAAAGTTTTTTTTATAAAGTATTTATTTAAGACATCAATTTTAGAACACTCTCAATCTAAATGAGTTTTTAAGGCATAAACAAATATGTGTGTTTTTATTTAATATTCTTTATTTTATTCTTAATTGAAATTTTTCATTACAAACAGCAATTTTTTTTCGCATATCATGATTTTTTATAACTCGGATTTTTTTTTTGGAATGAACCTTCAGTTTTTATTGTTGCATCTAATTCAAACAATGTAAGAATTTCACAATTCTCAACCATCTAATCCTCAATTATATGATTTTTTTTGATTCCTTTATGTAAGCAAGAAAATTAAATGAAAGCCTTAAAGCATAAAAATCTTCATTTTTTTTCATCATTCTTTTCAAATTTAGTACGGATACATAGGACATTCCAAGATAACATGATAATTTCTAATAGTTAAACACTTTCCATTTTGTCCATATGCTATGTTAATGGTATGTTTTTTTTTTTTTTCATATAAAAGCAGTGATTCAAATACGATTCCCAGTTTTTATAGCATCTACAAACAATTTCTAATTTATCATATTTCATATGTAAATTGTTTCTTTTTTCATCATATCTCTCAATTTTTATTAAAGAAACTTTAATTAAACGAGGCGTTTTTATATTTCAAGCCTGATAAAACTTTTTTAAATCTTTTTTTTTTCAAATATTTATTCATTTTTCGGGATATTATCGGGATACAAACAAAATAATTGGTTATGTGAAGAAGAAAGATTGAGTCTCTCAAGCATAAATCACCATAACCCACAATGCATATAGCTTAAAGATGCTTTTCTTTTAATTGATAATTATATAAATATAGACGAATAATAATTTGTATAAAATATAGAGTAATAAAAAAAGGGGAGTAGAGGGTATTAAAATGCATTCAGATGAAGTTATGTATCAGTCAAGGTCGATAAGAGAAGATATTCACAATATAGTGAAAATCGCGAATTGAAAGAAAACAGAAAGAATATTGTGAGGAAGTTCGATGTATTTCTACAGAATTTTGGTATTCAATATTAATTAAAGGAAAATGAAGAAAATATACAAATAATCAGTGCTTTAAAAAATATCAAAAAAACTCATTATCCACTTTCATACATTATAACTATAATAAACCAATAATGATTAATTAATCTTTTTTTTACTTGCTTGCATTTCTTTGAAATAGAGCAGAGAGAATGTTGATTAATATGAAAGAAAGAAAGTTGTGTTGTTGTGTGATTTTTTGTTTAAAAAGGACATAAGCTTACTGCTCTTCATCTCCCAATTCCTGCTTAATCTTAGAAAAGTCGAAATCCTCGCCGGTTCCGCGTTTGAAAATGTCTAAAACATCCAAGCATGTCGTTTCGAAATGTGTTGTCGCATCGTATGATTGCGAGATGAATATTTGCGATTCTAAACCGTTATCGGTTGGTTCATAATAGTCGCCAACAGACACGAACTTTTGTGCAATGGAGCCTAACAAGTCAAGACCAGGTTTGATTTCATTTTCAGGATTGTCAGTTTCTACAGTTGTCGACACCATGGCAATGAACCATCCTTTAGCCGATACTTGATGTGTGTAGCTAATTACTGAAACGTAAATGTCAGATCTACGTCCAACTTGCTTTTGTGGAATGATAATTTGAGTTGATAATGCATCTTTCGTATTGGCGACTGGATGATCCAATATACAAATGCAACGAACTACTTGTCCACTCTTGCGAACCTATAAAGTTTTATTAAGCATGATTATCGTTATAAATGAGCATAGATGAAATGAAAACGTACCTTGTCTTTAACGTAAGATGGATCACAATAGACTTGCTTGCACTTTGCAACTTCAGATCCAGAACGAACGCCTACAACGCGTCCATTTTCAAGAACAATCTCATCAATTGGTTTATCAAGCATATAAGTTCCACCATAAATGGCGGAAAGACGTGCAAAACCTTGCGGTAATTCGCCCAAACCGTACATTGGATATAAATAAGGTGACTTTCCATAACGTGCCAATGAATCAGAATACAATTTAATACGACGAATAGTAAGAACAGCTGGTTCTGCCAAATAATCATCGTCGCGATGCAATGCCAATGCATGTCCGGTAAAATCTTGAGTGTTTGGATCTAATCCGAACTTTTCATAAAGAGCTTTCATGTTTTGAGTTGATGGATCAAAGTCTTTCCATGTCTTTGGATCTTCCTCTCTAAAATCTTGAACGTAGATCAAGAAATTGCGGAAACGACGCTTCTCAAACATTCCTGTAAATAAAAACATTCTCATTATCTATAAAATTGTCGGCATCAGCTGATAATATTTTCAATACAAAAATATTTTACAGACACTTATTCATGACTAAGGCATTTATCGTAGCCTATTAAATTTTCTAATTACGCTACTGTACAGTTGAAAGCAGCTGTTTTGTCATGAAACATTTTCTTTCCGCAACTCTGGATCTTTTTTTGGAGTTGGTAATGAAACATTTTCAACTTTCCAATTCACTGAATTTAAGCAACAAAAAAAGGCCATAAAATATGTAATAATTCGAAAAGCTAGAGGGGCAATAATACTTGTTTTGGACATGATTGATAAGCGATTCTAATAAAAATTGAGTTAATAAAAGCTGCGCAGCAATGTCAAGTGTACAGAAAATATCATGAGCTTTCATACAATCATTTTTGTTCTTTCATTCTTTACACTTTTCCTACTAACACTCTCATGCTACAAAAAAGAGTAAAGTAAGCGAGAAAGAGTGTATATTGTGTATGGAAGAAGAATTTCCTCTATTATATTGCATTACACGTTTTCAAAATTTCCACTATTATGGATTAAGACATAAATAAATAAATTGTATGTATGTGGATATTACTCACCCATCAAATCGGATGCTAGAGCTTCTTTTTGATCGACGGGAACTTTTGCAATTTTTCCCTGTTTGTAGACATAAGAGCCTTCGACAGATTTGAATTCCAAATATCTTGTCACGCCCGTATGAATCAATAATTTAACGAGTAAGCCATTAGCCATTAAAAACTTGGGAATCAGATCAACATTCCAGTCACGGGTTCTTCCATACTTTTCACCGGGATTTTCTTGCTTAAACTTTGCAAAAAGTTCTTCTAATGGTGTAATGGATGCTGTATTATCGGACAAAAAAAGAAACACATAAAATTTGATTAATTTATGGATGAAATTAAGGAACTAACATCCAGTTGGATCTTTTAAAATTGTCAAAAATAGCAAACATTAAAATATTATTCTCAAATATTGCTGATTAATTAAGACTTAAAACAAAGAAAATTGAGTTTTGAAAAATTATCATACCCGTGTCGCCTCCATAATAGCTATTTCTATCGATGTGTAAAACCTTTTTTCCAGAAACACTCAACATTCCACTTAAAATGCATTCTTTCAATCCAGTTCCCAAGACAATTGCATCATATTCTTCATCCATGGCTGTTTTATTGACAGTTTTCAATCACTATTTAATGAAAAATCACAAAATTTCAAAATTGATTTTTGCAAGAAAATTTTTTTTGACGATGTGTGCAGTAGGAATGGATGAAAACTTTACCACTGTCTTCCTCCCTTTGTTATGCAACAATAAGTTAACTAGTTTTGTTTTAATTTCTCTGTCTATTCTCATGTTTCAGACTTTAGATTTTGTTAATCTATGGTTTAATATGCTGTTTATCAATTGGAATGGTTTGGAATGTACATTATTGTCAGAATAAGGATTATTTTTCTGAATTTGATTATTGAGCAACTGAATTGTTTTAACGGTAGCTCAGATTTTAAAAAATTTTAAAATTATTATGACTGTTGAATGCATTGAAATAAATTTCTTTTTCCTATCTTAATTACCAATAATTCGAGAATGGGATTTATATGCAGTACTGCATTAACCATTATAAACATCATAAGCTTATCAAAAACGAGAGAATAGGGAGTAAGATTAATAAATACTAAAAGTAAACAAGTCACTCTCGAATTGCTCAGTTTGTGGATGTCTTAGTATCATTTCATTCTTCGTTGCTATCAGACGTACTTTTTTCGTGCGCTTATTAAAAAATAAAGTGAAAAATCAAAGAAATTGAAAGAAATATCCGTAAAAGAAGATAAATATTGAACAAGAGTGAAAATAAGAAGTAAAGTGTGAAAAATATTTTATCTAAAAGTATCATAAAATAAGTTAAATTAAATTATAAGAAAAATAAATATAATAGAAAGTGAATAATAATTTGTGTGTTTTCAAAAGAATACAGTTTATTGCATAAAATTAGTTTAAATATACATAGTCTTGTTGGAATATCATCTTGTCCAGTTTATTGTTGTTAAAAGGTGAGATAATGATCTGTGGAAGCTATAAGCATCTGCATCCTCTATGATTGTGAAGAATCGCATAAAAATTATAAGAGAACCTCTTCCTATTTTAATTTCCTCTTCGTCTGTTTTTAACGTGGTCAGTTTTGTTTTACGGACGGGATGATATTTTATAAAACCTGTTTTATCTTCTCGAAGGAAATTCTTGGAACTAATAACTTCTCGAAATGTGAAATGTAAACAACAACTTTATGACTGTTTATCGATAAAAATAACTTCTGAAAATTCGCTAATTATTAACATCTGTAGACTTCTAACGGCAATAAAGTGTCAATACAAAATTGTCTAGTTTGCATTGTTCTAAAAGGGAATTTATTTGACTTGTAGTGATTTGCACTGATAAGATAAAGCCATAAACTCATTGTTTAGACAGGTTTGATCTTGAGAAGATAAATGTCAGTTTTACTGGATTTAATAAAGATAATGCTAGACTGACATACAATTATTTAGCATATAATACGGCATGAAAAATGCTGCAATCGAATGCATCTAGCATAGGTCATGAATGTCAGCAACAGCATTGTATAAGAAGTGGAAAAAAATAAAAAGTTGCATGATTCATTCATCATAAAAATCTACAGAAAATAATCGAGAGAGAATAAAAACTGCAAGTTCCAACACAACTGTGTATGTGTACCATTGTTAAGCATAACTGAATTAAACTTGTTTTTAAAAACGTGAACGTAAAATGAAGTGAGTGGGTTCGTATTGATCACAGCTGATTCGCATTAGTTGTTTGCTGTTACATATGTAATTCTAATTACTCAACTATGACAGCTGCATTGACTATTTTAATATGCTCAAATATAGTTTAATTTCTTCTTTTTATCGACTTACCTTGAAGATTATATCACATTTAAAAAATGTACATTAAGTTCACACTTTTGAAAAAAAACAACGTTCCATAAAATTCAATGTCAAACTAGTGCATCGGGGAGAAACCCAATGCGGATTATATTCACACCGTAAAATCAAAAGTCTTATGGATAGACCAAGATTTGCCCTGCATAAGTATGAAGGTATGAGGCTGGATAAGTCAACTGATCTTCGCTCAGCATAAGTTTTGAGATATAAAGCTTTTTCTGAAGCAACGGCTGTTCCTACCTTACCCAAAAACAATACAGCTCTTCTATAGAGCAGCACGGATCAAATGTAGAAAACCAGAAGTCTCTACAATGTCTCGTTATTGAGATTTCTTGCTGATTAACTTGTTTGCTTGCATACAGAAAGCGTATTTTGCGATTTTCTCAGAAATGCCGCAACCATTTTGAAATCCGTTTTTTTAAAAAGGATGTAAAATTTCAGGCACAAACTTTTCTTCTGGGACCTTTTATAACCAATTTTGCTCCGTTTACTCACAAAATGCGAAAAACTGATTTTTTAATCTGAACAAAACCAATAGATTCACACGTGAAAAAGGTGTAAATATAAAAAGTGTTTATATTCAAACTTTAAACTTATGCTGAGCGAAGCTCAGCTGACTCCCTAGTTTATACCTTCAAACTTATGCAAATCTTGGTCTATCCATAAGACTTTTGATGGTACGGTGTGAATATAATCCGTATTGGGTTTCTACCCGATACACTAGTTTTTTTTCCTCTCTCTCGTCTGTTCAAATATATATGTTGGATAGTGACAAATTGTATTAATTCTGTAAAGCATTTCAAGGTGAATAACTTAAAAGTTTGGCAACAAAAAGATGTAACATTAAACCAAAGTGCTCAAAATGCTTAAAATGTACTAAGATATAAAGAAACAAAATTGGAGCAAACGTAGAACCAAGAATAAATTGTATTAAAATAGTATGTATTAGATCAATTCAACAGGAAAGGCTGATCTTGATATTAGATATTATGAATTTAAATTTAAGATTCAATTAAGTTCAACTTTTAATCCGAGGGTTAATTTTTGAGACAAATTAAAATTTTTTGAAAACAGCTAAAATTGAAATCTTAGGATACTTTTAACTGTTCAAATTGGTTCAAATATAAATTTAAGTTTTTAAAAAGATGTTAAATCTTTCAAAGTTGTTGACAGACTCATCATCAAAACTATAACAATATACAAATTTGAGTAAATATTGTGGTAAATAAAGAGCAAACAGTTATAAGCAAGATTCATCCGAAAGCAGCAAGTAGAATGAAAATATTAACACCGTTTTTTTTTTCGTGTGCCTTTATTTCAATTATTTTGTAAGAATCTTTTAATAGCGTTAAAGAATATTGTTTTAAGTAAGACCCTAACGTGACACTTTGGCGTATTTTTTTTCTTGAATTAATTAATTTTAATTGTTGAAAAGGCAGTTTCATAATTTCATTTACTCATTCATTCACGAAAAGAAGTTCAAATGTGAGAAAAATACAAAGGAAAGAAGCATCGATTCAAAAGCAGTAAAGCAATAATTTCTTCATCTTCAGGAAACTTTATTTTTTTTTTTTTTCAATAACAATAGTCGATTGGAATTCCATAAAAAATTATTCTCATTCGTACTAACCAAGACAGACATGGTTCAATGTACTTGAAAATGCATTTTAATCGAGACTTATTTATATAGACTTTAAAATTACCTATGACTGCACTCTTGTGTTCTATTAAGCTCATTAACCTGCGACTCACATACGATATGAATTTGTTGTTCTATCCAACGCAGTTAGCTATTCTTTATTGTGCTTTACTCAACTCGTTCGGATTACTAATTCTTATTATGTACATAAATTTCATTTCACGTTCTGTACTCATTTCATCCGCTGTGTGGAATGTTATGGTATCTTAAAAGTGTTATTTACCACATACTGAATTTCATGATTTCAATGACCTATCCATAAGTTTATCATATATTAACTTAATTCGCGTATTTCATTTCGTACAAATTGTTCTGTTATTTCTTTTTCGTTTTTGATTTAGACATTTAGTGATGTATTACAAAGATTTTCAAATAGTTGATTAGATTAGAATTTCTTCTTTATTGAGTAATCGTTAATTTTTAAGTGGAAAATGCTATTACTTTTGAAGCTTTATTGGGTTATTCCTGATTATTTTTATTGGTTGTAAATTAAGTCAACTTGCTAAATAAAAAAAAAACTTGACATTAGATTTTTCAACATGCACTTTCAAGAAAATCTTCAAAGTGAATTGATTGTTATTATGGACAGACTGAAACATCCATTTGTGAACAGTCTTCTACGAATATAAATGAGCTGTAAAAATTTCAAAGAACCCTGATTGAAAATAATCAAATATTTACTAAGCCATGTTCCAATAAATTTTAATAGCGTTATTAACATCTTCAAGTGTCATTTAATTTACAAGAGACATGACAAAAATAAATTAAAGTTTTCATCGCTACTTGTTAGATTCATTGTAAGTTAAAGAAGAAAAGTAGTTCTATTAATATTTCGGAATTAAATATAACTGTAATAAGAACGAACAGCATGTGAATTTGTAAACAAGAAATAAGATCATAAACACATGGGTGAATCCTTATTCTATTAAGATAAGGCATGCAGAGGTATTTTTATCTTCAAAAACAATATTTAAGCATCTTAAAAATTCCAACAAGCTTAAAAAAATTATTTTTTTATATTAAAGTAAAATTCGCGGTTGTAAATTGAAAAATATTTTATTTCATGCAATGCAATAGTTTCATAAAAGCTCTCCTTTATGTTCCCACTGCGACTGTACTTATACTATTTACATATGAATATTTAATCTCTTCAGCTGCTGCCTCAATTCAACCTTCTTTTTCCATTTAATGGTGAAATAAATTTAGTCCCTTTTTTATTCACAAAGCCCACAGCCTTCCTCTTTTATGTTATACTTAATATTAATTGCTTATGGGCTAATGAATAAAACAAATTTCATGCAATTTTCTTGAAGTCCTTTGCAATTCTTTGTCATGAATAAATCAAGAATTTATAATGGACTCCTTGCACAGCTATAAAAAAAAGAGCTTTACGATGTATTCATTAATTTTAATACAATAGGCAGGTTTTAAAGGAAAAACATCTAGTTTAAATAGTAATTTGACATGAATTAGTCACACTTTAATTTTCAACTTTCCTTTTACCAAAATAAGATCTGTCATTTGCCGTTCCGTGACATACATTTGAGTTAATCATACCTAAATCTCAATTTCCGAAAAGGAAAAACTTAAAAACGTTTTATTTATTTGTGTTCCATTAAACATTTTGGCTCCTGCTTGTTCCTTCAATATAAATTTAATCGATTTTCTGAAAACGAACCAAAATGTTTCTTTCCTGTTAAGCAAAATAACTTCGTGGAACAAGAAACTCTTATTTACAATAGTACTGCCGGTATTTGTTTGAATTTCCTTCATTATAATTTCGAGCTTGTTAATGTGATGCATATTATTATTGTTATTTGAAATTCTACTCTAAAACTAGCAGCTTCAGGAAAAATTTTGAGTAGCATTAAAGCGGCAAGCAAGCGTAATTATTTCTGACCATATTTAGTGATCAGTGGTTTGATTTTGGTGAATCTTTAAATTCAGTAAAACCGGGAAAAGGGTTAAAAGTTACAACGAGGAATGAAACAGTGAAATCCACATAGTTTGGACTAGAAATAAAACATTTTGAATAGAGACACGTTGCATTGATTGGAAATCCTAACGATAATGTTGCCTGTTTTCTTTTATTTGACATGTCAGAAGCGCCGAAATTGAAAAACTTGTGAAATACAATTAATATTCTTATTTAATAAAACTCCCAGCAGATCCAACTTTAAGGATTGTTCTCTTTTATTTTTTAAGCTCCTTGATATGCAATTAAAAATTATATAAAAAATGAACTTTTTCTTTCTCTTTTTTTCTTCACGCGCTCATTTAGATGCTTCATATCCTCCTATGGTAGGCGTATGAACAAATATAAAACAAATATTAAATGGAATATCCTGATTACTTAACTCTAAATGTTAAATAACACCATTGCTTTTAATGATGGAGGATACGCGAAGAAAATCATCATTAACCGTCCCATCAAATCTACCGCCATTGCCTTCCTCCACTACACAACTTCAACGTCATTTAAGTTTGTCAGAAGCTGAACGGACTTATATTTTTACAACAAATGTACCGGAAGTACAATCATCGGGTATTAGAATCGGCTCAGGACATTCAAGATCCGTTAGTCATGGAGGTGGTGCAATGCAAAATCCAGGAAGTGGCAGTGCAATTCGTCCACTTAAATCGGCGATGAAAGGAGGTCATCAACGAGCATTATCTCAAGGAACTATTCAAGATGCACCGCCTAAATCAGGACATAGTCGTGTTGGCTCAAAAACAGACTTTATTTTACCACCAACACATAAAGAGCCAGATGAAACGCGCGAACCTATCACAACAGTTGTTTCAGCGCGAGGACATGCACGACAAGCATCACGTTCTGAATCTATTTATACTTTGAGAAGACAAGACTTACCGAGTTGGTGGAAGAGATTCCTCTTTTGTCGTTCAAGTAAATTCGAGGAATATGGCTTTCGACATGTTGTACCTAATCACACAGTTCCGGCTAAAACACAAAAACGAGACCATCCGAATGGGAAATTTATGGGCAATAAAATAAGGACCACAAAGTATACAATGCTAACATTCCTGCCGAAGAATTTAATTGAACAATTTCATCGCGTTGCCAATATTTATTTTGTTTTCATTCAACTTCTGAATTGGGTACCGGAATTGAACGTGTTCGGAAAGGAAATTGCGATGATTCCATTACTTATTGTGTTAGGCGTTACTGCAATTAAAGATTTGATCGAGGATAGGAGGCGATTTGCTTCGGATAAGAGAATCAACAATTCAACATGTCGAGTATATCATGGGTGAGTTTATTTTACTTTTTTTAAGCCATTGGAATTTCATTATGGAAATTTCCATTTTAAACATTATTACTCATTCATATTCCGACATCATAGAAATGGAACTCTGGTTTCATGACATTTCGTGATACTGTAATTTGTGATAGCGTTCCATGTGCTCTTTATTCATTTTTCAAACATTAAAAATTTGACTTTTGTTATTTTTCTTACAATTTTACGATCCTTAAATTGTAGTTTAGCTAAGTAAAAGGTCTGTAAATTCCCAAATCGACCAATGACAATACTTGAGGATAATTCAAAAGATTTCTAGTTTTCTCTTTTATTCAACAGTTTTGATGATGAATCATAATAGTGGTTCACGTCATCCTTAATAAAAGATTCGCTCTCCACACATAATAAATGATAAATAAGCAGTGTTTGAAGAGGTTTTTGAAACGTAGACTGCTTAACAGATGAATGAACTTCAAAACACTCAAGCTTTTTAATAAAATTACGTCCACAATTTTGGCGCATAAATGCTTTGAGACAAAATAATCGAAGCTTTTTCTAATCGATTTTAAACATTTTTGCAAACATTAAAAAATTATTTAAAGGAATATCGAATATTTAATTTAAATCGAATCGATTGGAACTCACATCTTAAAATAAAGTATACAAAAGTAAATGGCAATTACTAAAATGTGAAAAGGAAATACTGCAAAAATTTTAATTTAAAGTGTTTCGACAAACATGTCTTAAATGCTCATTCACCATTTAACTTCAGAATTTAGAATGCTGTTTTCATTGGCGGTAGTTAAGCACTTAATTAATTTCAACTGTGTTTTGAAGTTAACTAGCAAAGCAATGAAACAGATTTGTTCTTATTTTTGGATGTATGTTGTTTTTTGCGAATCTACTAAATCTTAGTAACAGTATTATAAACATCTAAAATGATTTATGGAATTTTTCCAAAAGAAGTATAATCGACTATTTAAGGCTATTGAAAACAGATACGAAAAAGTGTCATTAATAGAAATAATTTAAGACTTGTCTTCTTCTACATTTCTAATATATTATAATAGCAATTGCTGTAAAATGAGCTATATGTATCAATTTAATTAAAGAAACATTTGTCTTCTATGTCATCTCTTCGCTTAGTTACTTAACACCGGATATATTTTTATAAAAATAAACATGTTTACTTCTGTTATTCTTATTAAGGTTCACTGTTCATTGCATAAAATAACGTATTTTTAAAACTAAATGAAATGACCCGCATGAACTCATTTATGAAAATAGACTACTTAAAAATGCTCATGGAAAGTGCTCTCAATGTAGCCACTTAAAATTTCGCTCCATGACGAATTGTGAGTAGAAGGGGTATGTATCTGGTAATTATTCTAGGAGGCTTTAGTGGAATTCTTTTCGCATCCCTTTTGATTCTATGTTTTGATAAAAAAAATTAATTTTAAGCTAGCCCCTGACACGACCCCAACTTCAACTATTTAGGAAATCATAGCAAATAGAAATCGATTTAACAATTTTAAACTTAAATGTGATAAATAGCTTCGCGATAACTGATGTGTTAAAAATGTCTATTCAATCATCCTCAGATGCTTTATAGAATTCGCATTGATATATTTATCATCATCATAACATGTCTGATAGTTCTTCTTTGCTCTTACAATCACAAGATTAAACGTTTTTGCGATTGAATGGGAACATCATCATTCATATGCCACGAGACAGCTATTCTTCTGATAACAATCATGATAAAAACATGAGATGATTCATTGGGATTTCCGTGCACATAAATATTATAAAATAAGAAGAGAATTTTGTTTCAATTCGATGATTATTGCTTCTTTCTAAGCTTTATCAGTTGACTCAGTTGAGAAAAAGAGCTCGTGTACAATCTAATAATCTTCAGAATACGACTTTTTGCTGTTCAAAGAAAGAGAAATGATATATAAAATAAGCTTTTTGATCCTTTCAAATGCGATAGGAAGACTTTAGTCCCACAGAACTAAAGAATAAGCGGACCTTTAAGTCTATAAACATAAATAATGTCCTCAAAAGCATTACCTCGTTCGTCGACATTAAAATTCGACTTATTACAAATAGGAAAAAAAATTCCATTTGTCTATTTTTAAAAATAAGTTTTTTTGTGCTGAATGTCATTTCACTTGAACATGTCGCAAATGGAAAGACAAAGCTGATGAAGAAGAAACTTTAAAAGTGATTTACTTGTGGTTTTTACTGCAACTTGCACATTTAAAAATGCAATTTTTTTCTGCTCATCACCGTCAGCTAAAACTGCATTATTTTCGTAAGAAACTTGCTGTTTGCTACTGTCGGATTTCTTTCCTATAATCGATTGCAATTACACGTGTCGCATGCATGCATGAAATTATTTATTAGCGTCAACAAAAAATTCATATAAACGGTTTAAGTACCTACAAATAATTTTTCATAACTTGAAATTGTTTTCTTATTCGATTTTCCTTTCATGCCAAAATCTTTTACTGTCTATAATACAGAAAGAAAATCTGACACGCTGTGTTGCCAAATTTATTCTAAATATTTTGGTTTTTCCTTCTATTTTGAGTCTAAGTACATTGTACGTACACTAGAAATCGAAAAATGAGCAATAATGAAGAACTGTACAAAACGTGATGGTGCATTAGATTCGCGTAATTCGGAAGTATTTTTTCATTTGACTGTGATCTTGACATTGTACAATTGTTTATACTTTTTTTCACACTTGCTCTGTAGCTTCACTTTCGATCATGTGTCAATGTATTACAACTCATTATGATTTACGCCTACATTGTTAATCGTACGATGCCGTAACTTTTAATAATTACAATGATAATGGAATTATAGAGTCCACGTGCCATTAGAATCATGTCAGCGCTATTAAATTGTAAAGACACTTTATCGGATTCTCATTTTCTTCGCCATGTGTCTGTAATCACTGATATGAAATGAATCATTATATCGAACTGTAAAAGAAGTCATTCAAGCACACCTGCTGTTCAAGATTGCGTGCTTAGACAACATTTAATTTGTTACTTTAGTGCTGATGATGATGCTCAATGTCTGTATGTATGAAAATGGTGAAATATTAAATAACAGTGCGGTTATGCCTTCTTGCATTATTAAAGAATAACAATTCATGAGTGATGTGCTTATATTTCTGGTTAAGAAGCTTCAATAAGAAGAATTTACGGCTAGACTAGAAATACAACAGCGTAGATAAAAGAAAATAAATGAAACGTTCTTAATTACATTAAGTTCGTCTCAAATGATTGGATTAGAGAGATTTTCATAACTCGTTTTCAGCTAGAACTCATTTTTCGATACAAATACACATGCATGACATAATAATGATGATGATGTTATGCAACATGTGATGAGCTTTATTTTATGAGTTTTTCTAACTCATCAGAGATTTATACATTTTTTATTACAGTTGCCCCCAAAACTACTAATTCGCTGAGAAAATTAAAATTTATCTGTGAATTAATTACAACAATTTGTGTTCATCTTTTTAAAGAGCAGATATGAGAAGAAAATGAGAGACTTATCGTTGTTCTACTAGTAGATGTAAAAATAGAATTAACAAGTTGTTTAAGGTGATGAAATGATATTCATGTGCATCGTTCATAAAATATTTCATCGAACTCAAGAATAAGATACTTAAGTAGATGATGAAAATCATTCATGCATAAATTTTCTTCCTAAAATATTCATTTAATTTTCTTAATGACGTTTAATCGTTAATGTAATACTCATCAGCGGAGATTCAGAGAATATTTAATTAAACTTTATAAAATTAACCTTCATCTATAGACATTAAGTTTCTTGTTTAGGGGATTCACTGCTGGTTTAAGACAAATTTTATATTTTGTTTTATTTGCGCAACATCTACACAATCACACGCATTACTTTACAAGAGAGACAATTTGGCACCTAATTGAATCATTTTAGATCTAGATTTCATCAAAGAGAAGGTTAGTCAAGTTTGATGAATAAGGTTATCAAGTTGTTGTTGTTTATTATTTGTCAGACTCCTAAGAGATATGACACTGCAATACAGTTGGATGAAATAACAATATAAGACTTATTTAATATGAAAGTTCTTTACCTTCTGCATAATATCGACACTTTCTGACAAGTCACTAACCTATAATGCTCTCAATTCGTCACTGTAACTGCCGGAATTTTAACTACTTCTTTTCCTTGTCAATAATGGCTAATAAAAAATCTGCAAAGAAATCAATTTACATAAATTTCAAGTTAAATGAAATCAATCACATCATCCTAAAGCCAGCGTAAATAATATCAGATCCTTCTCCAACATCAAATGAAATTAACATAATGAGATGTCTAGCTGTGCTATTTTTCTCTAAGATGTATCTAGGTTTAGTTACATTGAACTCGGATGATATTGAGCAGTTTCCACACTGCATACAAAATAGTTAAGCATGATTTCAATAAACGGTTTTCCCCCGCAATTTGTTAGAGTAATTAAAATGTGAAATCTCACATAATAAAATTTTAAGAAGGTTTTTCCTTCATTTAAAATAATAATCTCCTAATGTCATCAAATTAAGGCTGCAAAATAATTGAATTTTAAAATTAAAGATGAAATAAATTCATTAAATCGAATTAACAACTGATTATTCTGAGAAAATTTCCCGACATGAGTAAATAAACAACACTAATTGTACTAATGGCATCAAAATGCTGTTTCTAATGCAAATTGATAATTACAATCATTTCATCATACTATAGTCTTGCTTTTCATTTGCAATAATTGTACGGCTGTAAAGTTCTAAAGATAACAACTTAATGAATAAAAGCGAAAATTGAGTTTTCTTATCAGTGTTTATTCTTCCTTCATAAGCGGTTTTGTTAAAAGAGCGTTTGCGACACATAATTTTCTGGCTTTTTTGTTCTTTTCAAAATGTAGCAGAGCATTAGCATGTGCTACATATTTGCTATTAATAGACAGACTG